CCTTGTCGAAACGTTGTACATTTGCTGTTGTATTAAAGTTTTTCTTCATTACCCATTCAAGCCGTCTCCAGCCATTATTACCTTACTTATGGCATGCTCTGTAAACTATAGACTTACCGTGCGATCTAAATCTCTGATACTGTGGAGTGGTGTTGAACTGAAGGTGTAATATGGTATTTAAACCCAAAATTATCAACACAAAACAAATGCATCTCTTTCAGTCTCATAGTGAGTGTGGTTTGACATAGTTTCCAGTACATGTGAATATTTAGCCAGTTCGACTAGGATGTTTAAAATCAAATTTGATCAGTAAATGTTAACAAAATTTGCACAAATATCGTGGTATCTTGGTTTTTATGATTGCTCAAGTATGACCCTTCTCCTTCATTTGTCATTATTCGCTAGGCAGTTCTTATCCAAATACTGTGGTTTTTGTACGTAAACTGTAGTTTAAGAGTCAGGATATTTTGATGAGAATAGTGGTTTGTATTTGTACTGAACACAATAAGAAGTTTACTGGAACTAGTGACAATATGTCAGTTTAGAATTGAAGTGTCACAGTTTTAGTATCAGTCAGTCAGATGTAACAATCGTTACAAATCATAGGGCTCACCAAGTGTGTCTTTAGTTTTAAGTCTATAAATAATTCTTTTCTTTCATCAGAATGCTTTATTTTTCATATGGTAACGTTTTTTTTTTTTTGCACCTAATGTAAGTAAACTATAAAATGATGGGTTGCAATGAAATATAATTTATTAATTATCATTGAAAACTTCCGTATTTATGATACACACTTCTAAGAAGTGTTGAAACTTTTGAGTCATTTATAATTTTTTTTATACCACACCAATTAATAATGTTTTTTAGATTAATAAGATAAGAATAATTGTCATTCCAGCCACCAGAGTTTACTTTTTACTTTATATAGTATGACATAGTGGAAATTGTTACATTTTTATCACAGTCTATCTATTCAAAATTACTGAATAATTTTGCAGTAAGAAGGTAGAGAGACTAGGTTTTCTTGCTTCCAAAAACTGGCTTTTTGATTCCTGTGATTATCACTGTTAGTTTTAAATTGATGAGAGTTGCTTATGTATTCCTTATTAGTGACTAAAAAAAAACTAATGTATATTTGAAGCATAAATTTTATTATGCTACATTTTATGGACATTTTTTTCCCAACACTTTGGAAGAACAGTGCATTTGTTTTTACTGTTATCAATTGTTATATTTTTAGTTTTAGTATATAGGATGTATGTGTTTTTAGTTGTATTAATATCAACCGGTGAAAAAGAATATTTATTTTTTAAGTCTAGTGTATGTTTTTATCACTAGATGTCAGTTTGTACAACTTGTTTTCTTCATATAATTATTGTCATTGCTAATTTTTTATTTGTAATTAAGCACAAAGCTACACAATGGGCTATCTGTGCTCTGGCCACCACGGGTATTGAAACCCGAATTCTAGCGTTGTAAGTCCGCAGACATACCTCTGTGCCACTGGGGGCTATTGTCATTGCTACTTGCAATTTAATTAATTACAAAATATTAGTCAAATAAATGTTTTACTAAACTAGTAGCATATGGTGACATTATAAAATGTCATTTGCATACAAGCCTTTGACCTTACATCACACCAAAGAAGAGAGACCACCTTGTAATAAATATTAATTCTGTTGAATAAGTATAAAATAATTGGGTCTCTCACACCTTTACAGAAAGAAGATTTTATTGTAAAACTTGAGGTCAAATTTTTTTGGGGATTATTGTCTTGCATTCCAAATTGATTATCTCAAAAACAGTAAAATCTAACTACAGAAGAAGGTGATACAAGTATAGGAATATACAGAATGGGGCAGGTCTGATTATACCATTCATTCACTTAGAACGTGTGGTTATATAATGTGAAGAATTGAATAGTGGCCAATGTCTTATCTATTAGAATGGATTTGCTGTCGTCAGTTAATAAATCTGTTAGATGAAAACTAGAACTTGGAACAGCTGAAGGTATACTATCTTTTCTTAAATTCTGCACGTTGAGGCTTCAAAACTAGCTCTGTCTTTATCTATATAAAACAAAGCCATGCACATATTTAAGCAACTTTCTAATACATTGTTCTCAAAACTTGTATACTGAAGTTAGGTGGCTTATGCATGTTACTATATTTTAAAATTAAAGTTATTCATACCCTTCAAGGAAGTTGCTTCTTTGGGAGGTCTGTACCTAATAGAAGTGTAAATTAAAATCATTTATCTGTTATTATGTAATTGTATTGGCAAAACACATTTTGTGTTGTATATTGGCCAATCACATTACATAGTATAATATTATAGATGAGTGAAAAAGCCAATCACTGTTGTGAAATTTATACAGTCTGGTTATTGGCCAATCACATTACATAGTATAATATCATAGATGAGTGATAAAGCCAATCACTGTTGTGAAATTTATACAGTCTGGTTCAAAAAACTTGTATATGATTGTTGACTTCATTTGCACTTTTTTCTTGTATTTTATTTTTAAATCTTTAGTTTATTTAGCTTTTTGTAGCATTGAGATGATACACAAACTTTAAGGATTTTCAGCCCATAGAGTGCCATAAACATTGTATAACTAGTTGAATGTGATAGTACGAAATGACATTGATGGGCAATTTATAAAAATATATGAAGAGTAATAAATATATGGTATATGGTAAACTTGGTTTTCAAAATTATTTGTTCAAATGAAATTGCTTGCAAACTTTCTTGAACCTCTAAGCATTGAGAACACAAACACTGAAACTTGTTTCATATTTAATTTGTTAAATTGCATTCCAAGATATAGATTATAGTTTTCAAATTAGTAAAAGTTAATGGTGTTTTTGCAATAAGTAATAATGCCAAAACCATATGCATATAGAAATTATTTTGCCTGATCACAACTTGAAACAAGCAAATGTCTAATGTAAAAATTCAATGAGGATTTTTGTAACTCCAAGTTAGACTTTTATCCAGTAGGAGGCATGTTTTTTTTTTTGGTTTGTTTTGAATTTTGCTCAAAGCTACATGAGAGCTATCTGCACCAACTGTCCCTAATTTAGAAGTGAAAGACTAGAGTGAAGGCAGCTAGTTATCAACACCCACAACCAACTCTTTCACCAACGAATAGTGGGATTGATCATCACATTATAACACCTCCATGGCTGAAAGACGAGCATGTTTGGTGGGATAAGTATTCGAATCTGCGACCCTCAGATTGTGAGTCGAGCACCCTAATGATCTGGCCATGCTGGCCCAAGAAGGCATGTACCACCATTTTAAAGTTTCAGTTTTTAATTGTTTTTAGTTTCTACTTATACATTATTATATTTTTACTTTAATTAGAGACAAGTATCTAAAGTGATACTCCTCAATAAGCTTGAGTGCTTATAATTCTAAAATTTGGGGTTTGATCCCTGTGATAGGCACAGAGTAGTTAGCCCATTGTCCTTGGGCAAACTGAAGAATGATTGTT